GCCAGGACTAGCACTGGAGCCCATATGGGATGCCAGTGCTGCAGGCAGAGGATTAACCTACTGTGCCCCTAATTGGTTGGTTCTAATCATCCCATACCAAGACATAAATTTCATCTAGTCACTGACATAGAGTACTGCGATGGCCATGCTCATGGGTGTTCCATTGTGAGCTTGTGTGAGCACTGCTGTGGAGATGCATCCAGGACCAAGTGGAAGTGCTGGGTTGTAGGCGTCCCCTGCGTCTGACTTAAGTAGTGCCCATTGTTCTCCAGGCTGGCCACACCTGTTAGATACCCATCAGCAGTGCATGGCAGTTCCTGTAGCCCAGTGGCCCTGCTAATATGTGATGTTATCCGGTTTTTGCCTACCTGCCAATCTAACAGATGTAAAGTGCCATCTACTGTTTCAGTGTGCTTTTCTCTGATAACTGATGGAATCAGTACTTTATACGCTTGTTAGCTTTCTTGGGTTTCTTTTTCTATAAACTGGCTGTTGATATTCTTAGCTAATTTTTCTGCTGGAGTTCTGTATTTTCCTTTTTGAATCATAAGATTTCCTTGCATATCCTGGATATTATCCATAGTTGCTTTTATTTGCTTTTCTAAAAAAAGAGTTATTCATTTATTTCAGAGAGTGAGTGAGCACATGAGTGAGCATGCACTTCCACCCACTGATTCATTTTCCAAATACCTGAAATGCCTGGGGGGTCTGAGGCTCAAGGTGGGAACTCAATGATCTGTTGCTTCTTAGGATTTGCTTTAGTAGGAAGCTGGAACTGGGAGCCATAGCTAGGACTTGAACCCAGGTGCTCTGAGATGGGATGCAGTGTCTGGAGCAGTTGCTTAATTACTGCACCAAATGTCTCCTTTGGAAGGTTGGTTAGAGGTAGCCCTGGGGGCTGGCACTGTGGCGTAATGGGTAAAGCCACCGCCTTCAGTGCCGGCATCCCATACAGGCGCCGGTTTGAGTCCTGGCTGGTTCACTTCTGATCCAGCTCTCTGCTATAGCTTGGGAAAGCAGTAGAAGATGGCCCAAGTGCTTGAGCCCCTGCACCTGCGTGGGAGACCTGGAAGAAGCTCCTGGCTCCTGGCTTCAGATGGGCACAGCTCCAGCAGTTGCGGCCAACTGGGGAGTGAACCAGCGGATGGAAGACCTCTCCCCCCCCCCCGCCCCCCCCGCCTCTCCTTCTCTCTCTGTAACTCTGACTTTCAAGTAAATCAATAAATCTTAAAAAACAGAGATAGCCCTGGAGGTTATCTAGTACAGCATCTCATTTTACAGTTGGGAAAATTGTGACCCAAGATCTCAAGTAGTGTCTTCAGATCACACATTGAGAAAAAGCTGAGTAGATTCAGTGCTTTTCCACCATATCATATGACGTGGGAGACCTTTTACTGAGTCAGGAATGATAGTAAGTGCTGTGCAGGAGCTGTTGGACTTGCCTATTCCTCACCATCTGCATTTCTCTGTAGGCAGAAGGGCCTCTTGACCTGATCTGTTGGCCAAGAGAAGCGCTGGACCCAGGAGACTGTAGCAATCCATGAAGCCCTCGTTCTAATGACCATTTCCTACTCCCCATTCACTCCATCACTACCTTCTTTGTGGACTTCATCCTCTTGCCTGGCCAGTTTCGCTCAAATTTTAGTATGGGTAAGATTCACTGAGAGAATTTATTAAAATGCAGATTATTGTCTTGCCTGCTCCCCAGGGTCTGAGGACTGAGAGTCCCTTAGGTCACTGATGCAGGTGGCCCAGGGGCCGATTTGGAGAAACAGTGCATCAGACAGTTTCATTAGCTGTCTGATTGATCTGCTGTCTCCACCCTCCAGCCACTTCAATTTTCATCCTGCCAAACAGAATTTCAGCTGTGCCGCCAACACATCTCTCTTTGTCATACTCCGTACTTTCACCCCCACCATCCATCTAAATGTCTCTCCCTGTGTGAAATTCCATGGTTTTTTTCAAGACTTAGGTCAAGCATGGTCTCCCCAGCAAGTCCTTCCTGGTTTTTCAGTGTAGGTGAAGAACTACAGCAGGTATGTGAGCATCCCACTCATTACCATTTTGTCCTGAGTAATTATGTTGGGTGATCTCAGGAGAAGATGGTTGAAGCAACTTCTTGGAGAAGGGTAGCAACATCCTAGACCGGGTGGCTTTTTCTTTTTTTTAAAAAGTACTCATTTTAGGGGCTGGTGCTGTGTTGTAGCAGACTAAGCCTCCACCTGCAGTGCGAGCATCCCATATGGGTGCTGGTTCTAGTCCCAGCTGCTCCTCTTCCAATCCAGCTCTCTGCTATGGCCTGGGAAAGCAGTAGAAGATGGCCCAAGTCCTTGGGCCCCTGCACCCATGTGAGAGACCTGAAAGAAGCTCCTGGCTTCTGGCTTCAGATTGGCCCAGCTCTGACCATTGTGGCACTTGGGGAGTGAACCAGTGGATGAAAGACCTCTCTCTCTGTCTCGCCCTCTGTAACTTTACCCCTCAAATAAATAAGCAAAATCTTTTAAAAAGTACTCATTTTAATCAAATGTACACGTATGTTTTGTTTAGAGTAATTGTTGTACAACACTTGTTACTGAGAGCAGTCTTCCAACTGTTTGCCCCCATCATTTCAACATCATTTTCAGAGGCAAACACTTGAGACTCATTTGACTGATTCTCTTGGTATCTACAAAATATGCTATTTGATTTTCAGTTTTTGGTGCTATGTTTTTCTGTTGAGTTTAACCTGCTGTTCTGCCTATGCCTTCCATGCCTGATGTTTTATTGCATCTGATATGCTTTGGTGATTTTCCCTGCCCTGGTAATGATGCAACCAGCCACCTGACTGTCCAGATCAGAAATACGAGCACCTCCAACCTCCCCTGTAACTCTTTTTCCTTTCTCCTAATCTTCCCTCCATTCATTCTTCTTTTTTAAATTTTTATTTAGTTGACAGGTAGAGTTATAGACAGTGAGAGAGAGACAGAGAGAAAGGTCTTCCTTCCTTTGGTTCACTCCCCAAATGGCCATCCTGCTTGTAATATTACAGCGTTGCTAATCTGCTTTCTCATCATGTTTCCCTCTGATCTCTTCTGCACCTTACAACCAGAGCCAGTTTGTATACACAAATTAATTAAATCATGTCATTTTCATGCTAAAACCCTTGAGTGTGTTTTGGGACCCACAAGAGAAAGTTAGAGACAATGCCAAGGCATTTTGTCCTCCTGGAGTTCGCACACACATTTCCTTGCAGTAAGATGGGGGGCATGAGATGTGTGAGTGGAACTGACATGTGTCTTTTCCAAGCCCAAGCAGTTAATAGCTATGTGCCTATTACATTGCCTTTCTCTTCTGGAGTGGCCTCCGAGGCCCATGTTCCAGGTGCTCTAGCTATGGGATGGAGGAGGGCTGCCTTTCCCACTTTTTTTTTTTTTTCTGACAGGCAGAGTGGACAGTGAGAGAGAGACAGAGAGAAAGGTCTTCCTTTTGCCGTTGGTTCACCCTCCAATGGCCGCCGCGGCTGGCGCGCTGCGGCCGGTGCACCGCGCTGATCCGATGGCAGGAGCCAGGAGCCAGGTGCTTTTCCTGGTCTCCCATGGGGTGCAGGACCCAAGGACTTGGGCCATCCTCCACTGCACTCCCTGGCCACAGCAGAGGGCTGGCCTGGAAGAGGGGCAACCGGGACAGAATCCGGCGCCCCGACCGGGACTAGAACCCGGTGTGCCGGCGCCGCTAGGCGGAGGATTAGCCTAGTGAGCCGCAGCGCCGGCCCCCACTTTTAACTTTACGTGAGTTGCCAATGAAACTTGCGGGTCCATGTGTTATTGCAGTGTAGCCTACCACAACCCCGACTAACACAAGGAATGGAAATAAAGCCCTTCAGAGTTTGGCCTTGCTTCTTGAATATTATTTCCCTTCTCTGTCTTCCCTTGGAGTCTACATTGCATCCAAGGTGGCACGCCAGGCTCCTTACTCCCAAGCCTTTGTACATGCAATTCCTGTTGATTACAATGTCTTTTTGTCACCCACCTCTTCGTGGGCCACTTTGCCTGGCTAATTCCAACTCAACCTTCAAGCTTCTACTTCGATGTGGCCTCTCTGGGAAGCCCTCTAGTACTGCATAATACCTCCTGGGTGAGGTGCCCCTCCTCCGAGTCTCCTCCTGTGCCTACCTTCCACACACCATTCTGTGCTGAAATTGCCTGTTTACCTGTGTCTCCATTAAACTGAACAGGAAGATCCCTGAGCTTTGTGCTATGCCTGCTTCCCTGTCATCTTCCCAGTGCTGATCACAGTAAGTGTTTGGTCCATTTCTGTGGAATGAGTTATTGTGGGAAGATTCACTGTCTTGGTGGAGAGGCTATTGTGAAAAGCTGTCATCCATGTTTATTTTGTCCAGATTTCCTTGATAGTTAAACTTCCCGAGAGGTAGGATTCCTTGATACTTTCTAGGAATTAGTCTGTAGTCTCAATAATTTCTGACCTTGCTAGTGGTATAATTCTTAGCAAGTTACATCACCTCTTTAGCTTTGATTTCATGGTCTACTGGGAATAATAATAATCCTACATCATAGAGTTATTATGACAATTCAGTGAGCCAATGCATGTAGATAGCAATCAGTGTGTGCACACACACACAGAGGGAAGCTTTGAGAAGTTCACGGAAAATTCACATTGTCTTTTAATTTCATTTTTCGTGAACTTTTGTGATAACCTTGTATATGTGCTTGAAGCAATGCCTGGCATATGGAAGTGCGTGGCAGGTGTTAGATAAATTATTATGTGTTATTATTTTTAAAAGAAATACTAAATACAAATATAGTACCCTGGGTTGGGTCCTGGAAAGGGGAAAGTTCATTGAAAAAGACCTGGTGAAATCCAAATGGAGTCAAGACTTATTGCAATGTAAGGGTCTTAGCGTTGATAAATATACCATTGTAGTGTGAGAATTCCTTAGGGGAAATTGGATGAAGTGTATAGGGGAACACTCTGCGCCATTTTTGTAGCTTTTCTGGAAGTCTAAAATTATTCCCTGATAAAGTTTATTATTCTTTTTATAATTGCTATTCATTTCATTCTCACAATGTATCTATATGATATAAGCACTCTAATGATTGTCATTTACATGTGAAGAAACTGTGGTACACAGATGTGAAATAGGTTGGCCAGAGTCCCCCCTCATTGCAGGATAACAGGTAGAAATTGGAGGGTTGGGACTTAAACAATGCAATGATAAACATTTATTGATCCCAATCTTGTATCAGAAATCCCAAGTGCTGTGTGACTAGAAATGGGAGTAGGTTGTCTCTGACCTCAAGACCATTACAAGCAGGAAGCCCAAGCCTACACAGGGGCTGAGTGCATTGAACCTGGTTCCTGATTCAAGAATTCACTTTTAACCATTGCACCAAACAAATGGGGAAGGGGGAGGGAGTGGTGACTGGAGTCATATGCAAGTCACAGTGTAATTCAAGGTAAAGATGACTCTGGCTGGGAGACCAGGGACAGCTAGCTTCCTGCTGGGGGTTTGAGCTGAGCCCTGAACATGAACATCATTTGATCTGGCTAGAGAGAAAAGGACAACCTGTGATGGGTCTTTAAGCCTAGATTGAGCCTTCTCTTTCTTCTACTCTCTTTCCCTTCCTCTGACCAGCTCTGAGAGATGGACCATGCCCGTGCAACCATTGTCACTCTAACACTTCAGGAAAGATAGCAGCTCCTGGTGCATGGAGCATGGTGTTTGGTGTCAGGCAGAACCTGGGTTCAGCCATTTGCTTTGCTTTACATCCACTGTGGGATTTGAACGGGTTATGTTGCCTCTCTGAGCCTCATAAGCAGGAGGGTAGTGGGACTACCTGCCTTGGTTGTTATGAGCACTAAGTACATGAGAAAACATTTGGAAAGCTGATACAATGATGAGCACTTGGTAATGACTCAGTAAGTGCTGGCCGCCTCCATGTGCTTCATTGCTTTGTCTTGTCCAAGGCTTATTTGTTGAACTTTGGTTATGTTGCTATAAGTTTCCTGGAGATGCAGCCTCATGGACAGGAGAGAAAGTAGGCTTTGGGAGTCTGTGCTACTAACCATGGGGGGCCAAAATCAATCATTAAATGTGTCCAGGCCTCAACTTCTCACTATTAAACAGTATCAACATTGTAGGGTAATTGTCATCATTATGAGATGGATAGTAGAGATGGCCCATTGACATATGTCAGTCTTGACTTTCCCCAAATGGATAATTTTTTTTTTTGAGGAAGATTTGAAATACTGTGGTTCTCGTATCTTATCCTGCACCACTTAGCTTGGGTCTGTAGTAGGCGATGGTTAAACGCTGAGTTGAGTTGCTTTGGGTGTGGGCTTCCTCAGCACTTAGATCTTTCCAACAACGTTTCTAGGCTTTGTGCTGCCCCAACCTGCTGAGCTTGAAGAAGCTGGTGGAGGGACCAAGCTGTGAAATGGCCAACATTTATTTATTTTACTAGTAGGCTTCAGTCTCTAAGACAGTTACATAGTGTTGAGCTGGGGGCAAGAGAGAAAGCTGGGCAGAGGGGAGGCTGTGGGAACATCAGACGGTGGTCTCTGGTAGCTAAATCAGCTGAGGGAACCCACTATGCACTGAATTAGCCCTGGCTTGAAAAATCCTCCTGGTGACTTCCACCCTGTGGCTGGCCTCGTCCTCGATCTCCTCCTCGCTTGACTTGCGGCGGGCATTCTGGTATAGCACAGCACACACACCTGTGAGCCACGCGGCCACGGTGCCCGCTGAGAAGATGCAAAAGCCGATGAGCAGCATGAAGATGTAGTCTTTGCGATCCAGGTGTGTGATGCACATGTAGCGGAGTGGGTTCCCTACCTGGGTGATGGGCCATCCTAACAGCTCCGTGGGCTCCATGCACGTGGCATTTTGACCATCTGTAAATAAAAACACAGCAGGCATGGGGCTGAAACAGTGGCTCTTTCAGGGTCCTGAGGCCAAAGGGAGCCTGCAGGCGCTGCCTGGGACCCTCCCTGCTCTACGTGTGGTGGGTGGGCCAGCAGCAGTGGTTGCATCAGCTGGACCTTGTTAGAGATGCTGAATCTCAGGCCCTACCCTGGACCCCCTGAACTGGAATCTGCATGTTAGCAAGCTTCCTGGGAGATGTGGTGGCACACTGCCCTGTGAGGACTTTGCCTGTACTGCATCCCTTGCCCTCCAGATTGACTGTGCTGCGTTTGGTAGGTGAGAATGGGCTTGTTTCTTAAGGGTCCCCAAGGATGGAGAGACCACAACAAGGGCCAGGAGGTAGGAAACTTGAGCCAGATTTCCCTGGAGTGTAGACACTTCCCAGATCTCCACGAGTGTTCACCATCTACCTCCCCTCTTTCTCCCTTTTGCCCCCACCTCTCCCCTTCACTTTGTCCTTTTCTCTTCAACTGTGCCTGAGTCCAGCTAGGGCCCACTAGTGCTACTTAAGAGCATCATAAAACATCTGACTTGACTCTAGGGAGGGATGAGAGTCCCTGGAGATGCCGACTGAGTGTTCTCCCACCGGGAGAAGTCAGGTGGAACTCAGGGGACAAGATCATAGCAGGGGAAGCAGCTCCACTTCTCAGCAGTGGGGTTGACATTCATGGGTTGCTCACACAGTGTATGTGAGTCTTCAGCCATTTTTAGTAGCTGGCTCAGTTCCCTGGCTAATTCTCTGAGCACCTCCCTACCACCAGTCCCAGGGACTTCGGTCCACAGCAGAAGAAAAAGTGTGCTCTGAAGCTAGATAGACCTGGGTTCCAGTCTAGACTCTGTCACTTGCTAATTTTGCAAACTTTGGCAGGATACCTAGTCATCTCTCTGAGTCCCATTTCCATATCTTACAAAATGCAAGGAATGATATCTATGCTCAGGATGGAGTAGGGGATCAATGGACACAGGTTGAGAAGGTATGCTACTAGGTCTGGTGCACAGAATCTCTGGAGCTTTATCCTTAGCCCTGTGTTTTACTAACTCCTCTGATATGTCATCCTGGTGCCTCTGGGGGGTACCCAGGTAAATATACTTGGCATGCTTTAGATAAGTGAGCTCAGACTCAGGGCTGAGATGTGGGCTTGCTATAACCACGATTAAGATTCTGGCTGGCGCCACGGCTCAATAGGCTAATCCTCCGCCTAGCGGCGCCGGCACACTGGGTTCTAGTCCCGGTCAGGGCACCGGATTCTCTCCCGGTTGCTCCTCTTCCAGGCCAGCTCTCTGCTGTGGCCAGGGAGTGCAGTGGAGGATGGCCCAAGTGCTTGGGCCCTGCACCCCATGGGAGACCAGCATAAGTACCTGGCTCCTGCCTTCGGATCAGCGCGGTGCGCCGGCCGCAGCGCGCCTGCCGTGGTGGCCATTGGAGGGTGAACCAACGGCAAAAGGAAGACCCTTCTCTCTGTCTCTCTCTCTCACTGTCCACTCTGTCTGTTAAAAAAAAGATTCTAATAGCAGCTATATTTACTAAACTCTTACTATACGCTGAGTGACAAATGTTATCCCATTTAAATTTTTTTTTAATTTATTTATTTTAAGAGGCACACACACACACACACGGGGGTGGGAGAGAGAGAGAGAGAGAGAGAGCGCGATATCTCATAGCCACTGCTTAACTCCCCAAATGTCTGCAATAGCCATGACTGGAATAGGGCTGAAGCCAGGAACTGGGAACAGAAACTCAGTCTACCATGTAGGTGTTAGGGACCCAAATACTTGAGCCATCACTTGTTGCCTCTCAGTGTTTGCATTAGCAGGAAGCTGGGATTGGGAACCAGAGCCAGGACTTGAACCTATGCACTTGGATGTGGGATGCAGGTATAACAACATTTAAATGCTAGGACAAACACCTGGCCTTCATTTAATTCTTTTATTTTTTGAAGCATCATTTAATTGCATTTTATGAACTTTTTTGGAGTTACTTATATATTTTTTAAAAATTTATTTATTTGAAAGTCAGAGTCACAGAGGGACAGAAGGAGAAGTCTTCTGTTTACTGGCTTACTCTCCAAATGACTGCAACAGCCAGGGCTGAGCCAGGTTGAAGCCAGGAGCCATAAGCTTCATCTGGGTCTCCCATGTAGGTGACAGGGGACCAAATACTTGGGCTGGCTTTCTGCTGCTTTTCCCAGGCCATTAGCAGGGAGCTGAATCAGAAGTGGAGCAGCTGGGGACTTGAACCACTACCCATATGGGATGCTGGCAGTGGCTTTACCCACATTCTACAACATTGACACCCTTAAATGTTTTTTTTTTTTTTAAATATTGACTTATTTGAAAGGGAGAGTGACAGAGAAAGTGGGGGAGAGATTGAGAGATAGAAAGAGAGAGGGAGAGAGAGAGAGGAAGAGAGAGAAAGAAAGTGAAAGAATCCTCCATGCTTTGGTTCATTTTACAAATGCCAGGGAGGGCTGAGCCAGACCGAAGCCAGGAGCCAGGAGCTTCATCTGGATCTCCCATATGGGTGGCAGTAACCCAACTTGGGGCATCACCTGCTACTTCACAGGTGCATTAGCAGGGAGCTGGATGGGAGGTGGAGATGGGACTCCATCCAGACACTCTGATGTGGAGTGTATGCCCCGTCATCCTCCCCACCCCCACCAAGCTGAAAATTAACCTGCTGAACAACACTCACTCCATCATTTACTTTTTAAAACAATTGTGGTGGCCATAATATTATCCTTGTTTTTACAAATAAGTAAACTGATTCTCAGGAGGTTTTGTGGTTGAAGGTTCTGCAGGATTTAGGCAGGAAATAAGAGACAGAGAAAACCAGGACTGAGTTGTCTAAATTTGTTTTGCAGAAGTGGGAGATGCAACAGAAGCTACTGTGGACAGAAGCTCCCTGTAAACTTCAGGGCTGTACCTGTCTATGTGAAAGCATCAATATCCATGGTGACTAAGGAAGTCACGGAAATCAGGTTCAGTTATGGAAGTCCTAATGGGAACCAGAGCAGAAGAATTAGAGAGAAGAGCACAGGAGTGAGCTGAAAAGGAGGCAGTTGAGTGTAGGTGGCTGGAAAGAGCAGAGTCCATTTCACCTGGACACCATGAGCTGCACCTGCATCTCATCCATGCACCTGCAGGGAAGCTACTCAGCTACACTGAACAAAATGACCTGAAGTTTGCAGTGCTGTTGAGGACTTGTTCTTGCAGGAGGTAGACATGGAAGGAACAGCCAGTGCAGAGACCATGTCACACTCACTTTGTGCAGCAACTACAGAGGAGAGGACAGGAAGAGGCCCTTCTCTGGACTCAGTCCCCCTGCCCTGTGCGAGAGCTCTCAAGTAGAGGAAGCGGTTGAGCATGGGATAGGACAGGAGCACAGTTATGCCCGCAGACCTCCTGCCAATCTGCCTGGCTTGAGGACCTCTGGGTCAGGGAAGGCTCCTGGGAACTGTCCAGGAATACTATTAGGAGAGAGCTTGGGTCACCTGGCTAAACTGCTAGATATGCAGGAACACACAAAGAAAGACATACCTGTGAGAGGCAAGAGGCAAACGTGGGATTCAAGGGCCAGGGCTGGGTCTAGGGTGTTTTTTTTTTTTTTTTAATCTCATTCTACCTTTAAAAAGATTGGGCTTTTAAATTGGGGCTGGGGAGGCAGAGATGAGACTAAACACTGAAAACACGTTTTCCCATTTTGGAGCATTAGCTTTGAAAGGAGCAATTAGGCAGTGATTTTAATGCATTGTGAGGCTGCTGTTAAGTGAGGGATGTGGGTGGCTCTGTTGGGAGGGAGACCTGGGTTTATTCTGCTGCTGCCACCATCTGTCTCCTTTTCCCTACTGTCACTGCCAAAATTGGGGGTCTCCTCTCTCTGTCTCCCTGTCTCCATCATTTCCATGTTTCTCACTGCAGGCTCATGTCTCACACTCCTGCCACATTACCTCCTTCAGGTGTAGATCTTCCCGATACACTTTAGCTTAAACTTCCGTGTGGGCTTCAGAATAATATCCAGACCACCTGGCCTGGCCTGCAGAGACCCTGAGGCTCTGCCCCCTTCTCCCTTTCCCATTTTACTTCTCAGCACCCCCAGCAGCCCACCTTTGCTTCAGACAAACCAAACAACATATTTTCTGGGCTTGAGCCCTACCCTTGCCCTCATCTCTAGCTAACTTTGTTATGTGGCTTTTTTCTTTTTCTTTTTTCTTTGCACCAAATACCCATTTCTCCAGTTTTTGCAGGATCAAGTTCTTCCCATCCTTCAAGATCTAGCCCACTCCAAAGAGACCTTCCCAACCACCTCATCTGCTAGCTTAGAGGATGTGTTGATTGTTACCACACCTGAACTCATCCACAGCATTTCTTGTATCATTCTTAATGTGTCTGGAAAGGCAGCAAATAATGGCCCAAGTACTTTAGCTCCTGTCACCCATGTGGGAGATGGGAAGGGAGTTCTTGGCTCCTGGCTTCAGTGTGGCCCAGACCTGGCTGTTGCAGCCTTCAGGAGAGTAAACCAGCAGACAGAAGACCCTTCTCTCTCTGTTGCTTTGCCTTTCAAATAAATGAATAAATCATAAGAAAATGGAAAATAGAATCAAAAGATGTTCATTTTGGGGACAATAATTTTGAAATCCATGCATAGTTTTTTTTTTTTACATAGTATGCATTTTTCATGAACTTTTTGAGGACACATCATCTGCAGATTTCAGAATGGTTTTTTGTATCAAAATAAACTTATCTTTTACTTCTGTGTTCCCTGAACCTTTTTTTCAAGTGCCCTCCCAGAAAGAACTGCTTTTTTTCTTGGTCTGCACAATGGGTCACAGTTCTTCCCAGGTGTCTGCTGCGGTTCCTAGGGCCTTGATGCCCTGGAGGAGCCCGGTCTTGTGTGCAGGCTGCCCTGAGTCTCCAGAGAGCCCTTGCTCAGGAACCATCTGGGCTGACTGGGGGTGGGGAGGTTCCAGGC